AGCTCGAGGAACCCTCTTGAACGCGAATCGAGTGTACGTCTCGAGGCCCTCTTTCGAATGAGACCACGTCGAGAGCCCCCAGGGTTCGGGAGTTACCGCTGGTTAAATTCGCGGTCCGTTTAAGAGATAGTGACACCAGCCAACACTTTCCCTTCAGTAAGGAGGTCTCTTGTTCAGGCAGCATTCACGCGTTGTCTTATTCGACCGCAAGTGCCCTGCGAAGTGGACCTCACATGATGTTCCGCCATGATTCCAGTTCCAAGGGAACCTACACGTTACATTCAAAGCGCATTAAAGTGCGCGAGACGTGAATTAAAATGTATTTATTCACAGAGGTATATTATGTCACACTTCTCTGTGTGTGTGTGTGTGTGTGTGACGACAGTAGCGCAAATCCGTGAATGAATGTTCCGAAGTGAAATAAACTTCAACGGAATAAAGTTGAATGGAACTGAACTTCAACTTCACTGTTCAGTGCACTGACGTCAGACTCATTTTGGATAATAAAGTTTATTTCCATTACGTATCTCCGTCACGTCATTATAAGTTGTGTGAGCAGAAGCGCTGCCAGGTGTCTGGCAAGAAATAGAATAGTGTACAAATGTATTCAGGGTTTGCATTTGTTCAGTGCAATGTTGTTAGTTGAGTGCAAGGTTTTAAGTTATTTAAATTAAAATAAAGTAAGGGAAAAATATTTGCACTACCTGTTAAAAGCTAATATATACTGTTATAACAACGATAGAGACACTGTTGTTTACATTTTTTGTTAAGTTTGACAAAAATATTAAATTTAGTAAATAGTAAATTTTCAGAAATGTTCTGCTTTATTGTTGTGCTTAAATGTTAAAATGGCCCTCCTATGAGGTGTCAATCACAGCAATGGCCCCTAGCCAATTTGAGTTTGAGACCCCTGGTTTAAAGCCTGCTGCCTGTATCATATTTAATATGCACATTTTCTAATTTGTTTGTTTCCAGAAGCTTTACTTTCACTGTTCCTCAGCGGAGGAATGATCTTCACAAGCCTCCAGAACATCTCACATCTTCTGAGGAGCCTTTATTTCTTCAGCTCTCAATCACTGCGTTATATGTTTGGAGCATTTCACTCTCATCTCACTGAGACAGATTACTGCAGATATAGAGCGACCGCTGATACTTAGATCATTTAATGTCAGTATCTGCTGCACTGTTAGAAATGATTTACAGATTTACATTTCATCATGTAAATATTACAGCCTGACTGATATATCGTTTAGCCGATATTATCGGCCGATATCGCCGATATCGGCCATATCTCCGTAACGACGCGGCGGATCCGCACCAAATTTGGGGATCCCTTCAACTTGAGGAACCCTCTTGAACGCGAATCGAGTGTACGTCTCGAGGCCTTCTTTCGAATGAGACCACGTCGAGAGCCCCCAGGGTTCGGGAGTTACCGCTGGTTAAATTCGCGGTCCGTTTAAGAGATAGTGACACCAGCCAACACTTTCCCTTCAGTAAGGAGGTCTCTTGTTCAGGCAGCATTCACGCGTTGTCTTATTCGACCGTAAGTGCCCTGCGAAGTGGACCTCACATGATGTTCCGCCATGATTCCAGTTCCAAGGGAACCTACACGTTACATTCAAAGCGCATTAAAGTGCGCGAGACGTGAATTAAAATGTATTTATTCACAGAGGTATATTATGTCACACTTCTCTGTGTGTGTGTGTGTGTGTGTGACGACAGTAGCGCAAATCCGTGAATGAATGTTCCGAAGTGAAATAAACTTCAACGGAATAAAGTTGAATGGAACTGAACTTCAACTTCACTGTTCAGTGCACTGACGTCAGACTCATTTTGGATAATAAAGTTTATTTCCATTACGTATCTCCGTCACGTCATTATAAGTGTTTGATCACCACATCATTGAGTGAGTGATCATTGCAAAAAATGTGTTTATGTATATATATATATATTCTGTTCATGTCTATACTGTACTCTATATATAGTACCAGTCAGATGTTTAGACACACGGATGGGAAAGTGTCCAACTGTACAATAATATACACAAAGAATATCGGCCGATATATCGGTATAACTCCCTAATATCGGTATCGGGCGGGCTCTAGTAAATATCAGCATCTGCAGCAGAGTCACATTCTCACTGCATCAGACTACACGAGCTACAGAAGCCTGATGAATGTGATACTCGACAAGAAACACACAAGCAACGTTTTTATTAGATTTGCTTTTACATTTCGTCTAAAGTTGCAACAAACGATTCCATTTCAAAAACAGCTTTTGTTGCACATGTCAGGCTTTACAGGGTTAAAGACGCAAATGGTGAAGTAGCTCTTGTCAGAAAGGTTTTCTTCAACACAGGGTTCAAGAGAGAATCTAGCAGAGCCACTGATCTGTGCACTGTTTACCTCCTCTGGTCTCGATACCGCACGCTGTAGTGACTGCACCTGTGTAAAGGCATGAGTGTGTATTACAAACAGCCTGAAACTTTGCACACTTGCACATGTGACAGCTCTCCATTACATGCATGTGTCATACATGACCATATAAACACACGCTGCTAACAGTTAGTCAAACAGGCAGAGCCGCTGTATTCCTGCGGCATGGCGACGGTTTAGGCCTCATCTGTGGAGCTCAGTCACAGAAAGACACACGGCGCGTTTATTCAGAGGCTGTGCTCCCAAAACACCAACTACTCGGAGTATACACTGCGCTAGTGATCAGTTTATGTGTTTACACCAGCTGCCTGAGGACTAGCCGGCTAACCCAGCTGCCGCGCTAGCAGACGCGCTAAAGAGCCGCGCGTGTCATCATCTCAACACGACAGCAAACACAACAAGTACACACATACTCTTACCGGTTCCGTGACAGTGTGTCGCGTGTGGACGGTGGCGCTTATATTTTGGGAGTGTTTGTTGTCATTCAGTGAGGAAACATTTGGGTTCCCGCTGAGAGAACTGAAGAGAGCGGCGTGGACCGCTTTGATGGACAGCTCGGTTGGGCCAATCACAGCAGTCTATCTGCGATCGCGAGCCAATCGCGTCACAGCGTCGACATGAGAGGCGGGTGCTCTGAAGAGGCGCACGTGACTGGAGTGTGATGTGTTCATTGGTTATAAGGTATTTCCCAACGCTTTCTCACGTGCGTTGTTTTTCTATTGATGTTTAAACAACAAATACATCACAAATGTAAAAAATACATGTTAACTATGCATGTATGTTTTTGATTTCTCTTCTTATCACTCCATACACCCGAGAACACTGTCAACAGACAGAAAACAGATGTTTCAGGAGTGCAATATGTACCTATAGAATAGGCTATAGAGAGGAACACAGCTGTGAAGTCTGCTGTTAGTGAGAGAAAAACTCTTGATGGATTGGAATTGAAATCTACAGACGCAAACAGATAAAGTGCAATCACACTCACACACACACACACACACACGACGGATACGGATGTGTGTGCTCGAACGGAGCTCAAAATATCTATTGATTTGTGTATTTGCTGATTATTTGTGTGTGGGTCTGCTCTTAATCTGGAATGGCAAATTCAGAAAATGTAGCTGAATTTAAAACTGAGATCAAATAAGAGTGTTGTTCAGACAGCATTACTCCAGTGGATTTCCAGAGTATCAGCTATTAGAGAGAAAAGCATCTCCCATTAAACCCAATCGCTGATCACACGAACACAGTTATCAGCTGTGCTTTCTCTGATCTAATCAATCATAATCCACTTTAGCTATAGATTACCTATTTATGTTCTGTTGTGCTTCAGGTTCTGTGTCGCGGCTCCAATTGACCCACATTGGTTTCCGTGCAATTTGGCAAAAATTGGCACTATAAAAAGATAGAAGTTTACAAGCTTGTCAGAGACTACAAATATAAAATATGAGAGAAATTGAATGATGCCCATCTGTTTGTATTGTGTTAGGGTTCAATTTGACCCACATATTTTATTGTTAAAAGTTGCTGCACAGACACAAAATAAAGATTTTGATGTTTTTTGTCATGACTGCATGTAGTGACTTCTTGCACACTAAATAGTAAGTATAAATAGTATCTTACATTATTTGTACTGAATGTACTGTAAATAGTATGCATTGCTATTTGTACTTGCTGTGTGTTTCTTCAGTGTTTATTCTCAAACCGTTGTGAGGCTGAAATGAGTTTCTCACACTTCTGTTCAGTGCTGAAACTGTCTAGTAATTCTGATCCAAAAAAACTAACAACCAAAAACAACTTTTGACAGATTTTTGTGACTGTGAAACTCAGCATGGTGAAGAAACTGTGAATTTTCCTGGGATGATTTAGAGTCAACTTTGAGATGTGCATTTCATACGTTATTGTGTATTTCATATTTTAGTGTTTGACAAGCTAAAGACTTTTCTTTAGTGTTTTTGCAAATTGCATAGAAACCTATAGGGGTCAGTGGGGTAGTCTATATGACCCCAACACAAGTTTTTGTACAGCGTTTACAAAACACATCTATGTGTTCAAACTTTACATGCACGCTCATGACCCAAAATGAGAAATATTCACCAAATTTCAAGAAGAAATGAACAGTTTAACCAGCATTTCGAGCAGTTTGAATATCGAGTGTTGGTCAAACTGATCCCAACACAACAAAACTGTCAGTTTTACCTTGTGATTGTCTGTATTTATTGTCCATGTCTACTGTTGTGTTGTAGTCCTCGTGACTGTCTGCTGCTACATGTGTCACTGCTGTTTCCTGAAGAAAGTGCTGTTTTTATCCATTACCATGCAACAATTCATTTGACTTTGATGTCAGGTGTAACCCAATAGTTGTGAGCACATGAAGAAATATATATTATAAACAGAAATGTGTATGATTGGTCAATCCAGTGCTCCAGTAATGTCAATATCAGATTTATTCATAAAGCATCATTAAAAACAACCATTGCTAACCAGTGATGCTGTACATTAAAATATAAAACAAAGTAGCTGTTCAATGCACAGCATTATTGCCATTAGTGGCTCCATGAAGAACCTTTAACATCCATGATGTTCTTTATAGTGGCTAAGTTTCTTCAGATTAATAAAAAATGGTTCTTTTAAGAACGGATCACTGAAAGGTTCTTTGGGGAACCAAAAATGGTTCTTCTATGGCACTGCATTGAAAACCTCCTTTTAGAACCTTTATTTTTAAGAGTGCAAAATAATGTTTCCATCAAAATATCTGTCTTTCTATACCCTTATTATAATAAAGTAGCATTTAATCCCCGGCACTTGTGTTTCAACATGCATTTAAGGCGAGAAAATGTATTCAGAGGTGCTGAAATCACCCGTGCGTGGCGTTTCTTCAGTCAAACAGTCTGTAAATGTAAAAGCTGTGAATGATTCAGTGTGAGGATCTTTTCCTCGTGTCACGGCCTGCTCGATCTTCTACAGAGCACGTCAGCATCAGAATGATAATTCTGGTATTGTCTTGCATTCAACCGCTTGAACAGCAGCCACTGAAGAAAGCAGAACAATACAGCCATCAGCAGAAGGTGTCAGCGCTGGGCTTATCTCACCGGGACACACCGGTCAGCCAAAGCCGGTCCAGACGGCCGCGGGTGCGCCGTTATTCCCCCTGATCCTCCAATGACAGCGACAGCTCCCACGTCGAGATGATCCCGGACTTTCTGTTCTGATATATGATCAGCTCTGGAGGCTCGACTGTGTGTGCCGAGATGCAGACGCTCCCCTCCAGACAGGTTATTTATCTGTAAATTGATCGGCAGGACTTCGAGGGAGGAGGCCACCGCTTGTGTCCTGCTGAAATTGGGAGGGCAGCTTGAGCTCACTCACATTCAGCACAGCTTTAGAGCTTCATAATGGAGCAATCTAGCTCCCCTCACGGTGCCCCAGATGGCTTTTCCCTGAATTATTCATCCTGCAAAAAAAATCCCTAGTTTATTGCTCCCCTGCAGCCTTATTTTACTGGGCAGTTGACCTGTGCCATTCATATTCATTTGGCCGTGCTGCTGGATCTCTGTGCCTCGGGGGGTTTATCTTCACACTGACCCGAGCGCTTATATCAGATTTCTGAGCCGTTTCATTCAGGACTGAGATGCACACTCACTCCAGCGGTGGAAATGAGAGGAAGGATTTGTGGATTCCTGCTCCTGCTGCACTCTTTACACATGTAATCGCTGCAGGATATATCTACTCACACTGCGGCCATAACTTACAGACTCCATAGATGTGGACGGATGCATGCAGAGAGACGTGTGAACGGATCAGACGAGCACGGTAAATGTGGAAATGTGCAGAAGCTACTCAGATCTACAGTCAAGTAAAGGCTCTTCATTGGCATCTATTGAAAACCTTTAACATCCATAGAACCTTTCCATTGCATTAAAGGTACTTTATAGTGGAAAGAGGTCCTTTAGGTGTTCTTCACGCTAATTAAAAATGGTTCTTTTGAGAACTGTTCACTGAAAGGTTCTTGGGGAACCAAATCTGTTTTCAATGGTTTTCATCATGCGATCACTGTGAAAACCCACTTTTGGAACCTTTTCCAAATTTTTATTTTGGAGTATTTTTTAACATTTCTGCACTTTAGAAAGCAGCTAACTACACTAAAGCCACAAGGAGGCAAAAACAAATTTAAATAAGACAATTATCAGATAATATACCATTATTAAAAAGAAAAGTATTTATCATTACACTAACAGAAGTAATGACGCGTCATTAAAAATGAATTAAAAACTTGAAAAAATTAATTAAAAGGAATAAAAACAGACTGAAAATGCCTTTAGCACCAATTATGAATTTTTCAGCAAAAAAAAAAAAAGTAAGGTAGATTGTAAAATGTAAGGAGCCGCTGATGATCGCATAGCAAATAAAATAAATAATGAAATCAGAGGAAAAATTACATTTTGACGATGTCGTGTTCGCTTGCAAAATGTTTGCATTCTTTTACGAAAGTTTCTTGGGAGAAAAGAAATGTTTTGCAAGAGAACGCCCAAGCACTGAAATATACATAATCATTAATTGAATCAATCTTGAAGCATTCCTTTAATAAAGTCACACAGGGAGTCCCAGAAACACATCAAGTGATGGTCATTCAAATGTTTTTTTTGTAAAATGCTAAAATGTTTTTTGAACTGGTTCATTTATTAAATGGACTGTAGAAACGAACGGTTCACTGAAATGAATCAGACCCCCCGACACCATTACAGAGAGATTTCCTACTGGAGCGTTTGATTTCTGCGATATAATGAGACATAAAATCAGCCGTGTGATGTTGTGTAACGCCACACTGCGACTAGAGAAACTACTGGAAAACACTACTATTCTAACAGTTGCTGGAAAAGAGTTAAATCAGCAGTATTTCTGTTTTGAGTGAGTTACTCTCCAACACTGCAGCAGAGCGACGGCGTCACTGTCATTAATGGACTGTATTACTCTCTGCCTTCAGGCTTCTTTATATAGAATCAGAGAGAGAGAGACTGACCCGCGTGGGCTCACGGTGACCCGATCCGCCCGTGACCCGCTCTAGATATACTGAACCACAACTATTGACTCATTTGGGTCTATTTTTAGCAGAAACATTTGAGAAAGTCAATATAATACATGAATTGTAACTGAGAAACCAAAAAGAGCCACATCTATGCTCTCACAACAGCATCATTAAGCCATCTTTACATGAAACATAAACACATAAACATCTATAAATATATAATATAAGCATTTTGATATATAATATGTTTTAGATGTGCTCTGTATTAGATGTGGACATGGACTGAGGCAAAGCAAAGACTGTCTGACAGCTAACGAGGAACATTCTCAGAACGTTCTTTCAGCAACATTAATAGAACATTCATTAACACAACATTCATAACATTCTCAGAACGTTAACACATACATCCTTCAGGGAACGCTTAATTTCTCAAACGTTTTAGTTGGACGTTCATCTAACGGTATTTTAAATGTTACTACTTGTTTCAAGAAATCCAGAGAACATTCTAAAATAACGTTCCCATAATGTTTGCATGTTCCCTTAACATTCATACAACCAAGAAAAAACGTTATGA